TGCTGAGGACGCAGTGAGAGCAAGGCCATCCCTCACATCTTAGCTGAACACAGGGGTACGTTGGGGATAAAGCTAGTCTGAGAATTATAAAGGGGATTTGAAATACAGATTGCACTAGGTATACTGATGTTCCCTTTTCAGTCATCCTCACACCATTGCTACAAGTGGCCTTCAATATTCTCCATTTACAATAGAGTGGAGTGCTGAAGAACACAGACTTTTTGCCCAGCTGGTGTGGCCCAGTGGTTGGGTTTTGACCTATGCACCAAGAAGTCATAGGTTCAGTTCCCATCAGGGCACATGCCCAGGTTGCGGGCTCGATCCCCAGTGGGGAGGCATGCAAGAGGCAGCTGATCGATGGTCCTCACTCATCATGGATGTTTCTCTCTCTCTCCTTTTCTCTAAAATCAATAAAAACATATTAAAAGAAAAAGAACACAGACTTTGGAAGCCTACCCCACCTTCACTATGTAGTGCTGTGTGACCACCGGCATGCTGTTCATTGTTCTAAACTTCTGTTGCTTCTCTTTAGAGATAAGAACATCAAACGTGTAGGATTGTTGTGGCAAATGATATTAAAGCACTTAGAAGCAATAAGCACTCACTTATTGCTCTCAATAATTAGGAGCTAATGTTATCAATCTTAGGTTAGATGAAGAAATTGAGACATCAAAGTCTGTTGACTTCAAAACTCTATTAGTGTTTAAAGTTAGTGTTGTTACAAGGAGTCCAACATCCCTGGACTGAGAATTGACCAGGTAGGAGCAATTCTGGGATGGTTTGAAGACCATTTCAAAATCATAATAAAAATTATTGTATAGTTACTATTTGATGGATATCTACCAAGGTCAGAGACTGTTCTAAGCACTTCACTATTAACTCTCCCTATATAACCTCACTGACTCTTTGAAGTATATACTCTTAGTATTTCCATCTTGCAGATGTGGAAACAGAGGCACAGAGCTATAGAATCTTGACAGAAGCCAGAGCTTATATTGACAAGATCATCTCCAGCCAAACAGGGGAGTGAACTGGCAGCACCCCCCCTCCTGCATGCCCCCCCCCCCGCCACCAATGCAGGGTTCTACACTCAGTCCCCCAACAAAACTTCCTGAAGAGCCAGGTGCCAGCTGGAGCTGGGGGCTCCTGGGCTGTGATTGGCTGCCATTATTGTGGTTAGCCCTCCGTGGTGGGGGAGGCTGGGAAGGGCAGTGGAAGCTGATAAATAGCGCAGCAGTCTGTTCTGAGGGACAAGAGAGCCAGGAGGGAGAGGAGAACACACTTGGCTTTCTTGTTGGTATCCAATAATATCAACCGAACTACAGACATCCCAACACTTTGCCCAGGCAGCCTGCTGAGCAAGGTAACACTCAGACTTTTCCTGCCTTGAGTTACATATTTATTTACATTTTTATGTTTCTAATCAGAAATACTTGGGCTTTTTTTTTTGCCTTGCAGGGGATGAAGGGAGGGAGAGAGGGATGCTGACATCAATTGGATTTGGCTCTCCAGTGTATGACAATAGAAAAGAACAAGATACCAAGTTTAGGAAGGCACAGTAGATTCATAGAGAAGATGCAGACTACCTGAGTGACTATAAATGAATGTTGCAGGCAGAGGAAGGGTTGAAGGTGTGCTTCTTGAATGAATGAGTCAACAAAGCAGCAGAAGGAAAGGTGTGAGTCTCTGGGGGGAAAAATACTGTGCTAGTCCAGGCAGGAAAGATGATCAGGAGCAAACAAATTGCAGGGTGGGAGTACATGTGTACTTTCCCAGCTATTGCCAAGTATTGCTGGGATGTGTTTGAATCAGATTGGACTAAGGAGGAGACCAGTATTTTTCAAAGGGTGACCTGTGGGCCACTCTCAGCAGGATCACTAGGATGTGTGTTAAACAATACAGTTTCTGGACTCCATCCCTTATAAATGGAATCAGACTCTCTGGGAGCTGATGATCTGCGTGTGTGTGTGTGTGTGTGTGTGTGTGTGTGTGTGTGTGTGTATTGTTTTTAAACACAAGCTCCCTAAGGATTGTGATACCTAATAATTTTGAGACCACTGTAGAAACCCTGCTTTGACGTTATGGCCTTGAGCCAGGATTCCTGACCAGGGCTTGTAACAATACACTTCTCTTTCTGAAGTGGTTCAAGCAATACGTTGCCTGGAGGAAACTTGGGGTTAATTTGTTGCTGCCTGAGACTTAGAAAAAGGCTTTAGATGCTGCCAACTTTTGGCTGATGGTGCCGGGCAAGTTGTAGACAATAGTATGTGTGGAGTGAATGCATGAATGAGTGGAATAGATGCCGCAATGAGGGGTCATACATTAGTCACTTAGAAATTGTGTGTAGACCAAGTTGAATATGTTAAGAGGGGAAACTGAGGACCAAGTCCTAGGATGTACGTGTGTGTAGGGTTTCCATTACTCTCCTGAAGGAAGTAATGATAGTGGTCACCACCAGTGACAGCTCTGCCCCGTCCAAGCCACACCAGACTGGTGTGTGCAGATGTCTCTGTGCCTTTTTAGAATCTGAGGCTGGTCTACTGCAGAGACGTTTTGTTAGAAGCGAGGAGATCAAGCATTTGCAAGATTCCCAAGCATGAAAACAATATGACGACAAGAGAACTCTTTTCTAACTTCACGCTGTCTACCGGTTTATATTTTAGTCCCCTCTCTACATGCTTCCCAGAAAAGAAAGATAAACTAAGGATGGTGGTCAGATTTGAGATTTAGCCAGGTCTGAAACTTCCCTGCGGGCAAATTTAGAAAGAAATATGAAAAAGTGACTATGGATATACATGTAAATCTAGTCTTTAAAACATTTTCCCCTAAATTGAATTGATGACAAAAATTTTAAAAATAATGTTTTTTGTTAAAAATTCAAATCATATAAGAATGAATAAAATAGAAAATGAAGAGAGACCTTCTTACCAGCACCAATTCTATTTTCTAAGGAGTGGACAAGGTTAAGACTTTAGTGCATGTCCTTCAGAATCTCTGTATTTTCAGGTACACTCAAACATGAACAAATTTGCATAAAGGAGCTATATGCTATTGCTATATGCTATTGTTGCTCTGTTCTCTGCTTTGTCATGTGGGCATCTTGCTGTAATGTTGATGCATATCAAAATTGCACATATACATCAATACATATAGAAATGTTAAATTTCTGTCTTGTATTCCATTCTATACTGGACCATAGTTTAATAATGATCTATTGGTGATTATTTGTACTGTTTCCTATTTTTAAAGTAACAACTTTTAAAAACAAATCTTTCTTTCTATCTCCACGTATGTGGGAATAACCTATGGAATGTTTATTCCCACAAGAATAACATGTGGGAATGTTTCTATAGCATAACTTTCTAAAAGCAGATATATTGCACCAAAGACAATACGTATTTAAGCTTTTTATAGGCATTGCTAAGTTTTCCGCTGGAGATATTGCACCAATGTACATGCCTCCCTAAAATGTCTGAAGATGTTTTCATTTCCCCATGCCTTAATTAAAGCTGAGTAATATCAATATTTTTAATCTTTGCTAATTATATAGATAAAAATATCTCATTAGCTCTTAAAAGTTCTATCTTCTTTTAAAAGTAATACATGGTAATTTTAGGAAAAGTAAAAAATCATAGGTGAGGATAAAAAACAAACAAACCCCAGAATATCTATAGCTTCCACAGACCACTACTATTAGCATTTTGGTGAATATTTCCTAAAAACAAGAATAACAGCTCCCCGCCCCCCACCTTCTTGCTTCTAGTTTGAATAAACTTTTAGAAGTTGCGTTGAAAAACAATCTAATAAATACATTTGCTTTGGACCTCAAGCACTGATAACTTCTTGTTGATGGCACTCTTTCTATGGTGGTATTTAGGTAAACGTATTTTGGTAGACTCTGGTATATCATTACAGGCCAGTGGGAGTCAGCAGAGCAGCAGGGAGGGAGGGAAGATATAGATACAGAGACCCTTCCAACATGCCTGGTGCTTGACTAACTCAACTGTGATTAGCTCCAGAGAGGGTCATTATTATCTTGGAATTCCAGACAACGAGTGCATTCAACAAAGACTTGGAAAGGAAAGGCTAAAGGAATGAAAAGACACATGGGAATGTGGTCAAACCAACAGGACAGGGTGACCTGACTCAGGATAGAATTTAGGAACATCAATGAAGCATAAACCAATTTGAGGTATTTGTTGGGTTGCTGCTGAAATATTTTTGAGGTTAGTGAGACTTGGAAATAGTTTGAAATTTGTTTAATTCTCACACAATTCTGCATATGGAACAGTTTAACAGTATTTTCCCTTTAACCAAGTCTTGGAAATTGGCATTTAGCTTTTATGAAAAAATCAATCTCTGACGCATAATGCTTGCAAGATGAGATGAACTTCCATAGTTTAAAGGATGACCTAAAAAGAAACTTTGTTGGCTGCAGTCAGGATTAACCCTTGTGCTCCCCTCTCCCGTACCACCCGTGTGTTCACCTGAGGAGTAGCTTCCATGACCACATCACTTTGGTTAGTTAATTAATTGAGTGGGAGAAGTATTGCCTGATATAATTGATGGGTCAAAAGTATTCACCCAGGCAAATCTGGGAGAGAAAGATGGTGGTTTGAAAATATGATTGCTGTTTTTCCAATTAGCGGCACTAAAGAATTTTGCAAGTATTGGGCTGATTGGGTCTAGAAAGGATCCAAATGGCATTTTTCAGACTTTTTTCCTACAGCACTATTGATGTCTGCACCACAACCCAGATTTGTAGGCTTTCCTGGCCTATGAAATGGCCAATGTCTTTTGTTTTTGTTATTGCCAGAAGATAAATATTACTCCTACCTCTTGCTACAAGATATAGAGCTAATGACCATTGCCTGGTAATGACTTTCAGGATGGCAGCCCAATAAACACCTCAAAGTTGCTTATGGTTATATCTGGAACGACTTGAATTTTTCATCTTAAAAGTCCTGTGGAATCTTGGTATGTGCCCACTGCGGTTTATTGCAGGTTTGGAGAATAATGTAGGTTTTGGTTCGAATATAGACACAGCCCTATAATTTGCAGCAGTGTCCACTAATTAAAACTGTAAGCAAAATTACTATCCATGATTCTTCTTATTAGTTTGCATTCATAAACCTCAAAATTCACTTCATCCTTCAAGTAGTGAGTAATTACTTTCTTTGGGTTAGTAGCTTTATCATCCCTTTATGACCCATTTGGAAGAAATAAACTACCAACCTCTGGGAGTCTGCTTTAAAAAGCTGGAAATATATTGTCCAGCGAGTGCAATGAGGCTAATGCAACCTGAAAAATACGACTTTTCTCTGGTTTTAGTAGCCAGTTTTTCCTTGCATGTATTGAGCAAGTAACTATTGAGCACTAAGGTGTACTAGGAAACTTGGGGAGACAGAGATGAATCATTCAAAGGTTCTGTCCTCAAGGAACCTATGATTTGGGTGGGAAGCAAATAAGATGGTACATGTGTATATATGATGAACCATGGGTGGTGTGTGCATTTCGGTACACGGTATGGAGACCAGAAGCAGTGTCAGAACAGGGGAGGACTCTGTGCTCTGCTGTATGATCAGCATCTAAAGTAGGATATTAAAGTAGGAGGTTTAATAAGTCACTTTTTGGACGAATTAATGAGTGAATATTTGAATGTATTAATTTGTATGCCTGCCGAGATACCTCCATGGGATCTGGACATCTTTTTCCTAATATGACTTGTTTTCATTGTTCCCAGGCACCTCAGCCAGCATGGCTGTCTCTTTGCCACCCACTCTGGGACTCAGTTCGGCCCCAGATGAAATCCAGCACCCACATATTAAATTTTCTGAGTGGAAATTTAAGCTGTTCAGGGTGAGATCCTTAGAAAAGGCACCCGAAGAAGCTCACACGGAAAAGAAGGAGTCCTCTGAGGGGAAACTCCCTCTAGAGCAGTCTCCTGCAGCCCTGGACAAGGCTGGTGGTGAGAAGCCGGCCTTGACGCAGCCAGCATTGAAGCCTCACCCTAAGTTTTTGAGGAAATTCCGCGACGATGGGAAGGCAAGAGACAAAGCCATCCACCAGGCCAACCTTCGGCATCTCTGCCGCATCTGTGGGAATTCTTTTAAGAGTGGTGAACATAGTAGGAGATATCCAGTCCACGGGCCCGTGGATGGTAAAACCCAAGTCCTTTTACGAAAGAAGGAAAAGAGAGCCACTTCCTGGCCAGACCTCATTGCCAAGGTTTTCCGGATCGATGTGAAGGCAGATGTTGACTCCATCCACCCCACTGAGTTCTGCCATAACTGCTGGAGCGTCATGCACAGGAAGTTCAGCAGCGCCCCATGTGAGGTCTACTTCCCGAGGAATGCAACCATGGAGTGGCACCCCCACACACCATCCTGTGACATCTGCCACACTCCCCGTCGGGGACTCAAGAGGAAGGGTCTTGAGCCAAACGCGCAGCTCAGCAAAAAACTCAAAACCGTGCTTGACCAAGCAAGACAAGCACGCCAGCGCAAGAAGAGAGCCCAGGCAAGGACCAGTAGCAAGGAAGTGATGAAGCAGATCGCCAACTGCAGTAAGATCCATCTTAGCACCAAGCTCCTTGCAGTGGACTTCCCGGCCCACTTTGTGAAATCTATCTCCTGCCAGATTTGTGAACACATTCTGGCCGACCCCGTGGAGACCAACTGCAAGCACGTATTTTGCAGGATCTGCATTCTCAGATGCCTCAAAGTCATGGGCAGCTATTGTCCCTCTTGCAGATATCCCTGCTTCCCAACTGACCTGGAGAGTCCAGTGAAGTCCTTTCTGAGCATCTTGAATTCCCTGATGGTGAAATGTCCCGCGCAAGAGTGCAATGAGGAGGTCAGCTTGGAAAAATATAATCACCATGTAGCAAGCCACAAGGACTGCAAAGAGACTTTTGTGCATATTAATAAAGGAGGCCGGCCCCGCCAGCATCTCCTGTCCCTGACCCGGAGGGCTCAGAAGCACCGTCTCAGGGAGCTCAAGCTCCAGGTCAAGGCCTTTGCTGACAAAGAAGAAGGCGGAGATGTCAAGTCCGTGTGCCTGACCTTGTTCCTGCTGGCGCTGAGGGCGAGAAATGAGCACAGACAAGCCGATGAGCTGGAGGCCATCATGCAGGGACGTGGCTCTGGCCTGCAGCCAGCTGTTTGCTTGGCCATCCGCATCAACACCTTCCTCAGCTGTAGCCAGTACCACAAGATGTACAGGACAGTGAAAGCCATCACGGGGAGGCAGATTTTTCAGCCTTTGCACGCCCTTCGCAGCGCCGAGAAGGTCCTTCTGCCGGGCTACCACCCCTTTGAGTGGCAGCCGCCTCTGAAGAACGTGTCTTCCAGCACCGACGTGGGCATTATTGATGGGCTGTCTGGACTGTCCTCCTCTGTGGATGATTACCCCGTGGACACCATTGCAAAGCGGTTTCGCTATGATTCAGCGTTGGTGTCTGCTCTGATGGACATGGAAGAAGACATCTTGGAAGGCATGAAAGCCCAAGACCTCGATGACTACCTGAATGGCCCCTTCACCGTGGTGGTGAAGGAGTCTTGTGATGGAATGGGAGATGTGAGCGAGAAGCATGGGAGTGGGCCAGTGGTCCCCGAAAAGGCAGTTCGGTTCTCCTTCACAGTCATGAAGATTACCGTGGCCCATGGCTCACAGGATGTGAAGGTGTTTGAGGAAGCCAAGCCTAACTCTGAACTGTGTTGCAAGCCCTTGTGCCTTATGCTGGCAGATGAGTCCGACCACGAGACCCTGACGGCCATCCTGAGCCCTCTCATCGCCGAGAGGGAGGCCATGAAGAGCAGCGAATTAATGCTGGAGATGGGAGGCATCCTCCGGACTTTCAAGTTCATCTTCAGGGGCACCGGATATGATGAGAAACTTGTCCGCGAAGTGGAAGGCCTGGAGGCTTCTGGCTCCGTCTACATCTGCACCCTTTGTGATGCCACCCGCCTGGAGGCTTCTCAAAACCTTGTCTTCCACTCCATAACCAGAAGCCATGCCGAAAACCTGGAGCGCTATGAGGTCTGGCGATCCAACCCCTACCACGAGTCTGTGGAAGAACTCCGGGATCGGGTGAAAGGGGTCTCGGCCAAGCCCTTCATCGAGACAGTCCCTTCCATAGATGCCCTCCACTGTGACATTGGCAATGCGGCCGAGTTCTACAAGATCTTCCAGCTAGAGATCGGGGAGGTGTATAGGAATCCCAACGCCTCCAAGGAGGAGAGGAAAAGGTGGCAGGCCACGCTGGACAAGCATCTCCGGAAGAAGATGAACCTCAAACCCATCATGAGGATGAATGGCAACTTTGCCAGGAAGCTCATGACCAAAGAGACTGTTGAGGCCGTTTGTGAGTTAATCCCCTCCGAGGAGAGACACGAAGCTCTGAGGGAGCTGATGGACCTTTATCTGAAGATGAAACCCGTGTGGCGATCGTCATGCCCGGCTAAAGAGTGCCCAGAATCCCTCTGCCAGTATAGTTTCAATTCCCAGCGTTTTGCTGAGCTCCTCTCGACCAAGTTCAAGTATAGATACGAGGGCAAGATCACCAATTATTTTCACAAAACCCTGGCACATGTCCCTGAAATTATTGAGAGGGATGGCTCCATCGGGGCCTGGGCAAGTGAGGGCAATGAGTCTGGCAATAAACTGTTCAGGCGCTTCCGGAAAATGAATGCCAGGCAGTCGAAGTGCTACGAAATGGAAGATGTCTTGAAACATCACTGGCTGTATACCTCCAAATACCTCCAGAAGTTTATGAATGCTCATAATGCCTTAAAAAATTCCGGGTTTACCATAAACTCGCAGGCAAGTTTAGAGGACCCATTAGGCCTAGAGGACTCTCTGGAAACTCAAGATTCAATGGAATTTTAAGCAGGGCAGCCGTGTATGAGTTGGTTTTGCAAATGAGTTTTCCTTTGGGTTGCGCTGAGGTCTTCTCCTAGCACCCTTCGGTCTCGTGTGCGGGGCTTCACCATTCGAGAGGTGGTAGGTTGGAGAGGCCACCGGGGCTAAAACCATGTCAGGAATGGTAGCTGATGAGCCGATTGCTTGTGCTGTTTAGGGAGTTCAGAGAAGCAACAGGAGAAATCAGTTATTTGAAAAGCTCAATAACTCAGAACAGAAGTAACTGCAGGGGACCAGAGATTAACAAGATATGTGTGTGTGTGTGTCATTTATTATCGTTTGTATTGAGATACAAGTGTTTTCTATATCAATTTTGTAGAATTCTTTATTTTGTAATGTTCACATATCCTGGCTTATTTTACAGGATATGAAAGAGCTTTTCAGATTTCTCTAATAATAATAATAACAACAACAATATCTTACATTTGTATGGAACAATGACCCTTACAAAGGATATTTAATGTGTTTTCTCATTTGGGACATACAGAAATACCTTATATCCAGAAAAATGTTTGGAAAATTAAACTTTTCCTAGGTTTAAATGATGTCTCTATTGGAACCTTAAAAGGTTAGGACGTCATCTACTGCCAAGCATTTTTAAATAATGAACTTTAAAGAATACAGCTGTTAGCTACAGTTAGTTATTGAATCTTTTGGTAATATATGCCTACTTAGCTATCAGGAACCAGTTGTGATTTTTATTTTTACTTTTTAATTTTGATTAATTTAATCTCCAAATGTTTTGTTCTATAATTTCAGAGCCACAGAGGCTTCTAAAACCTGGGTTTGCTCACTGTGTAAAAACAGATTTAATAACTTGGTGTACATACCCACCATATTTTCTATATATGATACCTGGATCAATTTTATGAAATCCAGGTTTCCCGGGATCTTTCTCTCTGCAATATATTACTCTTTCTTTTTTTTTTTTTTTTAAAAAAAGTTAATTTTAGTGAACTTCTGTTTTCTCTCTGCAATATATTACTCTTTCTTTTTTATAAAAAAAATTAATTTTAGTGAACTTCTGTATGTTTTTAAAAAATATTTTTATTGATTTCAGAGAGGAAGGGAGAGGGAGAGAGAGATAGAAACATCAATAATGAGAGAGAATCATTGACTGGCTGCCTCCTGCACGCTCCCTACTGGGATCAAACCTGCAACTTGGGCATGTGTCTCCAGGCTGACACTCTATCCACTGAGCAAAACCAGCTAGGGCATGTGTTAGTTACTCTTTCTATCCAGCTACTGAGATTTTTGTAGCTGGATACCTTTGGACTTCTCCCACTTGCTAAGTTTAGGTACAGCCTGCTCACAGTACAGTGGAAGAGTTAACATTTGGAGAGTGTTTTTATTTTATGGCACTTTTGGAATACTTTTACATTTATTTTGCCTGATGTTTCTGTGGGGTAGACATAGACATTGCTATTATCCCTATTTGATGGAGGGTTAAATGATTTGCCCAAAGTCATAAGGGTAATAGATACCTGACCTGGAATTTGAACTCAGGCCTTTTGTCTCCAAATGCCATGTTCTTTCTACCACAACAATTCACTGAGTTGTTTTTTTTTTTAATAAGGCAGGATCGGACTTGCTTAGGACCCACCATTAATCCCTACAGTTCATAATTCTGGGATTATGTTTCTTGGAGGCAGGGATGGGTGGGTTTTAAGCTATTGGTGTGCTTTAGGACTTTTGCTAGAAAGTGATGCTAAAGCTCCCAAGAGCCTCCAGACTTCTGGTGGTTTCAGTTATTTGGAAACTATTGTCTGCATCCCTTAGGAATTTGGGACTTGCCAATTGCTGGCAATTTAGAGCAGGCATGGGATTTTATGTGTAGGGAGTCAAAGTGATATGTTAGTGTTAATTAGTTTTTCCTTCTTTTGATTTTATTGTCTGTGTCACGCTTCATACAAAATATATATCAAGGAGCTTTGTAATTTAGTTGTCAAACATGCATCAGTGACATTTTCCTAAGTGATATGCATTTGGTGTTTTTAATGGGGATTGAGCCCAGTATTTTGTCATTTAATAAATATAGCAGTTTTTTTTATTACTTTTTATGTATAGAATATATGTAAATCACGACATTTGTAATTTAGTCATCAAAACCATATACATATGTCAGTTTTCTTTTTTTCTTGAAAAATGAAAGTTTTGCATTTTATAAATGAATGGACTTCTAAGCCACCCATTTTTTTTTCATCCTGTTGAATGCTTACAGCATGTCTCTGTGCTAATACACAGAGGAATTCATGCCATTAGCCTACTCCCCAAAGCATGCTGGCTCTGGTTTGTGGATTTCCCCCCATTTCCACTGTTACTCAATTGGTGGCACTATAAATACTTTCCAGCATTAAATTCCCTTTTTCTAGCCTTGTAGGAACAATTTTGAGTGCATGTGACTAACAGCATGATTTCCAGCACAACCATCCCTCTGATCCCTCAATCACATCACATTTCGATAAACCCCAGGAACATCTGGCCACGGGAATTTCAATATGTGGAAATGCTGCCTGTGGTTGTCTTTGCCCTCGTTGTTGAGGCCACAATATCGCAGGCCCTGGTTTCATGCTCCACTTTGACTTGTGACAATGCGCATTGTAAATGCAATCACAGACTCCAGGGACACGCAGCACAGGGAATGGAGCATTTCTTTGAAGTATAGGTGGGAGCTTCGCAAGTGCAATGCCTTTTCCTCCCGCGAAACCGATTCTACAAGTTTTCCTTCCAGCCCACCGAGGGGCACTGCAGGGACCAGCGATAATGGCTGATGAAAATGGATGAATGGTCTGTGTGAAGTCAAAAAGCACTTTGGGATGAATAAACGCGCTCCGAGAAGCAAGAGCAGGAGGAAAAGATGTCTTTTCCTTCCATGTGAACTGGAATTTAGTTTTGCCTCAATTTGTTTTCACAAAATATAGATGAAGATAAAGATTTTGGGTGAGCGTGTGAGTCTTGCATTACATCAAACAGAATTCAGATTCCACACAGCTGGGAGCTAGGATCTGTAAGCACCAGTGGTGGTTTGGAGGAACAAATCACCCCTCGGATGCAATGGTTTTTGATTGCATATTTGCACGTATCTTCAGTTATTGTATGAGAGAGGGTCTATCCTTTCAAAGCTGAGAGATTTTAAATGAGTGGCTATTTGTCCCTATTTTTTTTTTCTTTAACTACAGTAATTTACCTCAGATCATTTTTGGTGAGATCTTTTCTTTTTGTGGCATTGTAGTTCACTTTATTTTCTTACAAATAATCACAGTTTGTTTCATGAACTTTGTTTGAGGGAAAGTTCAGGTAGCAGGATGAAATGGATTTATTTGATGTGGGGAGACCTATATTTCCATGTCATATGTTTTCAAATTCAATGAAGCATGTGTTTCGATACTTATTTTTATATTTTAATATTTCTACTCCTCATTAATATTATGGTTACTATTAACAATGTTATGTTTAAGTATTTGAAATAAAAGTTTAAAATTTGGAAGTAATGAGTATTGTGATTTATTTTCAAATAGTAATATTGAGTCCAACATTTGAAAAATGAAGTAACACCTATTTTTCTTGAGGGAAACACAAAATAAATTTGTTGATCTGTAGAATAAAGGGCAACAGAATTGTGATGATGAGTATCATTTATCCTAATGCAGAATGAGACAATTTGGTCTTGGTTACTTGAGGTGAATAGTTAGCCTTTGAAAATTGTCAGGTTTGCAAATCAGTGGGTTTTAACTCCTTTCAGAATCTGATAAAAATATGGATCTGTTCCCTAGAAAATTCACATATTCATAAACTCAACATTTTGGTCGGAGAGGATGACTTGTCCAGGGCTATGCAGACATTGGCAGAACTGAGCTGAAACCCAGGTTCTTTCATCCAGTGCTTTTCCTAGTGATAACAATAACGACAGCAGCAATGGCTACCACTTAGCAAACAGTGTGGCAAGCACTCTGCATATGGAGTTCTCACTGGATCCTTTTGGAGTTGGTACTAATCTTCTCTCCATGCTACACTCAAGGTCATGGAAGCTTATTTCAGATAGAAAATGGCCAAGTCACCTCTACACAATTTCCCCTCTGCTTGCGTCCTCCTCCCCTTAGCACCGCTCAGTCATCTCTCTGTCATCTACAGGAGACATCCTAGTTCCCTTCTACTCAGAACTGAGAGTCAGCCGGGCTGCCTCTGTGACCATACAGCTTTAAAACACCAAAGTATGCTTGTATTTGTTGGTAAATAGCTTGTGCGCCAAGGCCCCCACTACCCTTCCCTATTCCAGCAGCTCTGCCTCATCCTCCAGAAACCCACAATCCAGCAAGTGGCAGGTTAACTCCAGCACAACAGGAGCCTCATGGATCCAGCACCAGGCTAGCATCTTCTTCGCTTTACTTTACTTTTTTACTAGTATTTCCTTGCCTTGTTTCATTCTCCCCCCCCAACTTTTTTGGGGGTATAATGGGCAAACAAAATTATATACGTATTTAAAGGTGCAACATGATGAGTTGATATACATATGCATTGTAAAATACCAAGTTAATTAATGCATCCAATACCTCACATACTTATTGTGTGGTGTGTGTGTGTGTTTGTGTGTGTGTGTGTGTGTGTGTGTGTATGGTGAGAACATTTAAGATCTGTCTTAACAAATTTTAAGTGTATAATATCAGTAACTATAATCACTACCTTGTACACTAGTTCCTCAGAACTAAAACTCATAACTGAAAGTTGGTACTCTTTGGCCAATTATTTGAATGTTACCTTTGAATTTAAAAATGAAGTATCTTATCTGGCCAGTGTGGTTCAGTGATTGAATGTCAACCCATGAACCAGGAAGTCATGGCTCAATTCCTGATTTGGGCACATGCCTCAGGTTGCAGGCTCGAACCCCAGTAGGTGGCACGCAGGAGGCAGCTGATCAATGATTCTCTCGTCATTGATGTTTCTATCTCTCCCACCCTTCCTCTTTGAAATAAATTAAAAATAATGAAGTATTTCCTTACCCTTGAAGACCCAGCTATATTCTATATTGTTCCCGGTACTTTTTTGAACTACTGCAGCCTATATTTTAAACAAGTATTTATAGAATGCCTTCTATGAGCAGGCAATGGGTGCTTGGCACTGGAGCTACAGTAACACAGATGGTTATGGCTCACAAAGACTTTGGGGGAGGTGACATCACCAGCAATAAACCTAATAAATGCATGACTACACACTCTAGCTGGCTTCATGAAGGGAAAGTGCCAGGTGCAATAAAAATACAATATAGCACAACGGGGTTTAATCTGGGGAACCAAATAAACCGCCTAGGAAGGAGGAACCTTTAGGAGGAGACTGGTAGAATGAGTGGATGGAGACAGGTGAGAGGTGATGGACTGGAGAACACTTAGACTGTGAGCAGATGCTGAGGCAGGATGTTCTGGAACAAAAGGAAGGGCCTTCCTGTAGGAGCTGATCAAGCGAAGGTGAGGGAGGGGCTAGTGCGTGTGGAGAATCAGGCAGAGGCCTCATTGCACAGGAACAGGTTGATTGGGTCATGACTTTAGTTTATTTTTGTTTTAAAGCAACAACAGATGGTTTTTTAAAAAATGTTTTTAAAATTTGATTTTTAGAGAGGAACAGAGAGAGAAACATTGATTGGCTGCCTCCTGCATTTCTCCCGCCCTCCTCCCCCTCCCCCAGCTGAGGATCAGGCCTGCCTGGAAACCGAACCAGGGACTCCTTGGTTCATGGGTTCATGCTCAACCACTGAACAACACCGGCTGGGCTAGGTCAAGACTTTCAATTCTACCCCAAATGCAAATGGAAACCATTGAAGAGTTTGAGGCAGACAACTGATACAGTCCACGGCCAGAGAGGAGTGGGATACGAGCAGAATGCATTAGGAAGGTGTTAAGTGTGAGGGGATTTGTCCAAGAGTGAGAAAAGTTATGCCTACACATTTAAATGACGGAGTGGCAGCTTCAAACATCTTGACATGTTCTGCATGTCCTCCTGCACACATCTGATGCCCTCCGACGACTGTGCCCCACCGGGAGGAGGTGAAGGGAGGTTCTGTGGGCGCCTCCCTGGCAGACTCATCCTCTCATGAAGTCATCATTCCTTCCCCTGACTTGTTTCCTTCTTTCTCATGGAAACTTCCTTTTCCTTCTGGCTTTTACCCAATCATTTTTTCCCCCCTGCTGATGGTGACAATGCCATCTCAAAATACATACTGACTTGCTGTTACAAAAAAGGGAAAGTGTTCCTGCATGGATACCCAATTTTAAATTTGTCACCAGTTGCTTAAGTGTATTTATTTTCTATCACTTTCCTGCCTTGCCCCCTTGCCTCATTCTACAGTGAGACTGTAACTTCCCCAAAGATCGGGCTCCATTTTTACATTTCTTTTGCAGGTCCCATCATATTTTGTGTAGACCTTGGACTGTCTATAAATGCTTACTGGTGGATACCCCAAAGAGGCTACTCGGCTCTTTATCCTTAAGCTATACATGCTAATCAGCTTTTTAAAAGGAATGTTATTGGTAAGTTTTCCTATCTAGTCTCACAAAATTATGACTTAAATAAATACACATCTACTAGATTGACATCTGGAGAGAGAATGAGGTATTAGTTCTTTTAGAAATAAGATCCCTACGTTAGGTGTTTCCTGACAGAAGTAGGTTTGGCAAAAGCTGGCATCATCTATGCTAAATTCCCAGTCAAAAAGCAATATTCTATGCTATGGTGGAATTTGGTAGCATATAAATTATTTGGAATTCTTGTCACTGGGGATTAGAATGGCTGCCTTTTCTACCTAAATTTACCATGATATCCATTCTAAACCTGTGTGACCTCTTTTCACTACAAAAGAGAATAAATTTAATCAAGACCTCACCCTAGTGCAGTACATTTTTGTTTTTTTTGTTTGTTTCCAAGCTCTGCGGGATGAGATAGTTTGATTGGTAAAGATATTTGGAACAAGGGATGCATTTCCATATCTCATCTTTCACTTATTAAGGAATCAGAAGGATAGTGAGACAACAACTACAGAAGTGAGTACATTTCAGTTGATATACAGTGAACTTAATTCAATGGAAATTTATTGAGCATTAACTAATGTACCAGAAACAGGGTTTGGTATTAAGAATACACACACATATATATGTATAGGTTGTCTCGTGTGTGTGTGTGTGTGTGTGTGTGTGTGTGTGTGTGTGTGTATCTTAGTGTTATGTTAGACAAAGAATAGGTTGTCCTTACTGGAATATAGATGGAATTCACCAATCAATTTAATTTAATTCAATTCAGTTCAACTGCCCTTTAGAAGCCTACAATAGGCCAGGCATAATGCTTAAGTACTGGGAATACCAAAATAATGAAGTCACCATTTGAGTTCTCATGAAATTCATAGTTGGTTAAAGTCAGACACTTAGTATACTTAATAAATAATAGTTTACTGGTTTAGGTGTAAGAGTAGAAATCATTAGATGATGCTGAAACAGTATTGAGGAGAGATGATGAAGTCTGTGTAGTGTGACAATAATTTGAGATACTATTTAATTTAATAAAAATGCTATTCTGTAATTCTCTTACAAAATGAGTTTAAATTTCAGAACATGTCTGAAAATGACATTGCCCTTTTAAATAATATTCCCTAAAGATAATATTTTAAAAGATTTCACTAACTTGGATAAGTAAAATTTTCTTATATTTGAACAATGGATATTAATAAAAACCTTAGTATGTGGCTCTTTTACTATGTTTATTAACACTATATCTTTGTACATGTATTTTACATTTTGATTCTTCTTCAAAGAACTAATGAATGAATGACAATTTTACTTTTTCTAATCTGTAGACAAATCAAGATAAGAGTTTGTATCTGCCTCTAGAAGGAATAACTCTTTTGAACTTGGTGAAGGATATTTTAGCTCTACTAGTAACTTATGTCAGTTTCTACTAACAGATAGAAAAGAAATTACCGGGATCCTGAGACTATTAAATAGTATAATTTTGCCCTTCATAGGGTAACTGTAAATGTTAATAATTGGAATAAATCAATATAAACAGGAGGCATTTTAATATTTTATTATTTTCATGTAGATGGTACAAATAACAAAAAATCAAAACAATGGCACAGCAAATTGTTCAAAAGGAATATTCATCAAACAACATTACTGAAACAACGTTAACATGATTTAATTTATTCAAGTTAATTTTAACATCTAAGACATGGAGCTGTTAGGGATAAAAGAACTTGGGTTCCAGGGTTTTATCTTTTGTATGGTTCATATTTTTCAAAAATTTGCAATAGTAACTTACATTGTGGACTCTCAATGAAGACTGATGACAAGAGTCTATAGCTTAGGCTCTTGGGTTAAGGTAAAACTCCTTTCCAGAAAAATACTTTGGGGGGGGGGGGGGTATATTTTTAAAGGGTCATAAAATAAAATAAAAAAAAACAACCTGAGGGAAAATTATTTGATGGGTTAAGGTAAAACTCCTTTCCAGAAAAATACTTTTGGGGGGGGGGGAGATATTTGTTTCAAAGGTCATCTAATTATCGATTGATGTCTCTAAGCCTCAAAAGTAACAGTCCTTTTAACTTGCATTCTAGAAAGTATTTTATTGAACCTTAACAAGCTCACTGATTTTACAGTTTCACTGGCAGCAAACTCCTCATATTAACTAGACATATACACAAATTATTTCCCTTTGTTTGAAGTCCTCCACCTGTTAACTATAGGAAATCCTTTAAACTTTTTATTTTGGGGGAAAATAAACAATACTGTCCTTCTCTGTGAGATTTATCCCCTACTCCCTAATTTTTTTAGTGTACTCACACTCATTTTCTTTTTTTTTCAGAGTACTAAGCATCAGTGAACTGATTCTCTCCAAGAATCAGTTCAAGTGACTGGCTTTGGTTTATCATTTGTATACCATATGATGAGGAATCCTTCAAGGAAAGTTCATGCAGATACTTGATAAAAATTTAACTAACTTGATGATTGTTCCTTTTCTATTTATTCATGCCAATGGAGTCTATCTGTCTATCTTATTATTACTAATTCTGCATTTAAGATTCTTTGAAGAAATTCAGATCAGAAATATTCATTTAAGATACCTTTGAGTAAAATATTTTCAGTTACTTAGTACTGTATTATAAGTACTTTTTACTGGTACCAAATTTCATCTAACTAAAAGCAAATGCAGACATTTTCAATAAAGGAAAGGATGAATATACTTTTATCATTGCTATGATTCTTTATAATTGGTTTAAAAACTCGATGCACTTGAATCTGGAAGGTTTTTGTGAAACTAATCAAACAACCTTCTAAGAAAGGATTTCTTGGCAGGAGTAAGAATTTTCCCAGAACCCTTTTTGTGGAGGGATTTCAGTGGAGGCCTTTTTAAGGGGGGAACTTGTTTTGGGGTTTGCAATGCTCTTGCTATCTTCACATGCTCATTGCAGTAATACTTGTTGCTTCCTTCCGACAGCTGGATGAGTGTGCGTTCCGCCAGATCCATGCACTGGGCATGGACCCAGTGCCCATCTCCATGAGAGCAATAGATCATGGCAGGCTTGTTCAGCTCAGTTGAATAAAATGGTACCCAAGTGTTGATATCGACATCACAAGTAGAGCAGCATGTAATCCAGTAGCCAGTTACAGACTCATCTTCCTCATCATCTTCATTATAGGTGTCAAACTCGTCATCACCATTGAAACTATTTGCTTCTGCACTGAAACAAAATTCTTCTGAGTCTTCAAAGGGCGTGGAGTCCCCTGGGTCTTCTGTTGATGTCTGACTATTGGTGAATGTTTTCTGATCTTCATTCACATCGTCTTCTGCACATTTCAACATGTAGAAATAGTATGTTTCTGAAACAGCTTGTTTATTGTCTCCTGGTATGCCAAGGAAAACAGTTCCATTGCCCATGTTGTTTCCAAACCATATCTTGCTGTGCTTAATATCTGGGGTCCAATCTGGGGTCTCCATCTCTCGAATCTCTATCTTGTTGTCTTCAAAAGAGATGATGTTGCAGACCATTCTTTTTTGATTTTCAAGCTGATAGCCACCCACAATAACAAATTCATCATTGTTTGTCTGAGTCAGGATTGCACTGGAGACAGAGATTCCTCCCGGCAAAACTGTGCAATTCACAGCTGGGCTACCCAGAGGGAGATCAACCCTTATTCTGTATAGGTTGGCAGGGCGGATGTTATTGGCAAGTGAATGTCCTCCTAAAATATAAATGGTATCATTTCTGGCAATGGAGACATGGAAAGATAGCCCATCCTGAAGTTCTGGAAGAATGTATGATGTAGAGCACCCAAATTCAAAATCCACCAAGAAAACATGGGGCAGGCAGTCTGCTACAGTATTCCATTTTTCTGTGGTTCTCTGGGCAGAAGGTATGTATGACCGCCCTCCAAAGACAACACCCATGCTCTTCCCTCGACTATATACCACATCAATGGAGTGACCGTATCTGGCTTCAGGAACATCTCCTACCAAGTCTTTCTCAGTGCAGCGAAAAGTAACTTTTTTGTTGTTCTTGCACACAACAGACATAACATACATCTTATCTGAAAGCTCATTGTTTGGTGTTTTCCCTCCGTGGATAATGTATTGTTGCCTTTCAGACTCTAAGCCTCCTTTGAATGTGCAAATGGCTGGGTAGCGAAGAGGCGGAAGGTAGCAGGAATCCTTAGAGAAAACTGCAGGCTTCAATTTGAGATTATTATGTTTTACATCAAAATGAAAAACTCCAGTGGGGCAGGACCTCTTGGGCCAGCCTTTTTGGCCGAAGAAGAAAACTTGTCCATCAAAATTCATTAGTGAGAAGCCCGGTTGAATTAAGGCTATGTTATTACTGACTGTAACCATCTGAAGTGACATATTTTCTGATTGTGGATAGTTCTTTTATCTGAAAGAATTACAAAAAGAATGAACTTACTAAAACTCTTTCTATAAATAACTGTGTTTAGATCCCCTCACACGAAGAAAGCATGTTTTAAACAAAAGTTCCTCCACAAGCTTGTAGTGGGACTGAATTAGTACAATCCAGGCAGTTAGGTAAGCAAAGAGCCACAGAACCTTCCTGTCTAAATACAATGCAAGCAGCTGGGACACGTTTTAGAATTGGACAATCCTCCCTTAGATTTCTGGGAATTGTAGTCCTTTTTCCTTAAAACTCACCACTTAACGTCAGAAAGAACTACATTTCCCAGGAATCAGTTCTCTATGGGTTGCATGGTTAAGACAGGGTCCGTTGCTCCGGAGGGGAGACTCCTAGGATGTTTGTTTGTTTGTTTTTTTTCTGAAGGACGACGTCAAAAGTGCGAGGTGACTAGATTTGGAGCCAGAGCGGAAATCTAGGGATTGTGAGGTGAGAGTCGCTACCGCAGCCCCAACATCCGGGTCAGGGAACTCTGCAGCACCGGGAGCCGCGGAAGCCAGCCCTCTGCCCACGGGTCCCGGGTGCTGCGCCCGGGGACTCTTAAACTGGCGACCTAGGAGGAAGAACAGTTGCTCCGGCCAGAGTGGGGTTGCCTGGAAACCGGAGCCTGAAGGACGCCAGGCCGGGGTGTCCTGGCAGAGGGCTACCTGGAAGCGGTGGCGCTCCGCAAGGAATCGCACCCCTGGGCATCCTCAGGTGGCCGGGGCTGGGAGGTCAGGCGGGCACTGAGGTTGGAAAAGCCGTGACTGTTTTTGCAGAACAGAAAGGCGAGTCTCAGAATACCTGGAGTGCAGGGTAGAAACGACCTGATAATGATTTTACCATTCCTGTACTTAGTCATGAAAATATACATTAATTAGACTTTGAGTGCCACGCCAAAGGCCCTTTGTTTTCTCAACTGTGCTTGCTCTGGGTTTTAGGGTTCTTTTAGCGAAGCAGAGAAGACCCCTAAACCACTATCTCTCTTTCTCCCCTTCCCTCTCACTTCTTCCCACCCCCTCTCCCTTTCTGAAAATAGAGTTAGTGGCTGTTAATTCAGACCTCTCTTTCCAGCCCAAAACATTTGAAGTAATTCTTTAGTGACCCTGAAGCAGGCATTAAGCCAAGAGGTGCCACAATTATCCAGGATTTAATATTTGTATTACAGTATTTTTTCCAAAGGTATCTGCTAGGTGAAGTAAGCTTGATGAATTTCTATTTTTATTATTGTCACCTACCTTAGAGAGATGTCAGGAACCTTAATGAAGAAGCACCTTCCCTGTTTGCAGAGTGAAGTCCTAGGCACTACAAGGAGAAAGGAAACAAAATAGCACAGATTCCTTGACTTTTAAGAGTAAATTGTTAATATGCTTCATAAAACAGTGGCTGACAGTAGGACTCTGAAGGCTGACTGGCTGTATTCAATTCAGCTCATGGCTCTGCCACTAAGTACGTGAATGTGGGCAAGTAATTTGACATCTCTCTGCTTCAGTTTCCTCATCTGTGAAATGGGATAATTATTTTACCTACTTCATAGGTTGGTAAGTCTCGATTAATAAATTAATGCACACATATAAAGGACTTAGAGCAGGACTTTTCACACGGTACATGATAGTTGTTATGATTATACTTGAACTTATCAAAAGGAAGGTTGTTAGTACACAGTTACCTGCTGGTCATGGCTGATCATATTTATAATACTAAGATGATTAAAAGGGCTTTAGGATTCGGGAATCTGGTCTGTAGGTATAGACTGGTAATTATTTTTAGACTAATGAAAATTGGATAAGCATATGCAGTGGAGATGCTGGTGATGGGTTCAATTTAGATCAAAGGAAATATTTCACCTTTCTTGTGACCCTTTCTGTAACCCCTCATTAAATATGCAGACTTATATTGGATTGTCTGAGTCCAAGTCTGGGCTCTAAACCTAGTTGCTCTAGAACCATCTTGGACAAGTTACTTTCCCCCTGTCTTTTCATATCTGTAAAATGAGGATAATATTAGTATCTATATATTGGTCTTATAAAAATATATATTTTTATTGATTTCAGAGAGGAAGGGAGAGGGAGAGAGAGATAGAAGCATCAATGATGAGAGAGAATAATTGATTGGCTGCCTCCTGCACGACCCCTACTGGGGATCGAGCCCAGTAGGCATGTGCCCTTGACTGGAATTGAACTCGGGACCCTTCAGTCCACAGGCCAGTGCTCTATCCACTGAGCAAAACTGGCTAAGGCTACATTGGGTTGCTTTGAAGATTAAATGGGGGTAATGTAAATCCCTGTGTATGTAAATCTCATAGCAGAGTGCCTCGCACATAATAAGTATTCAGTAAATGTTGATACTATAATTTATTTTTATACTCCCTCCAAAGGTTCCTGGGACTATTTAGGATCTATGGTCAGTCTGAGATGTTGGTGGGGCTTTCTGCCTTGAATTACTTCTGTAATCGGATGTAATTAATTGCTAAATATCCTTTCTACCCATTAGTTTTAGTTGGGAGAGTCCTCAAGGTAAGATCTTTTAATAATCAATCATCCTGTGGGTTATTAAACCAAGTGAGAAATGAATGGTGAATGAGACGGACTGTTGCTAAAGTGATGAAAGCAAGCTTCTCCACTGATGAAGGCTGTTTCTAGGATATAAAGCAGCCCATCCAGGGTGAACATACGCCAAGGACACTTGGTTTTAAGCAGCAAGCTTTTAAAAAAACTGTTTTCATTGCAGCCCATTGGCTTCAGGGTAAGGTTGTCATAGAGATATCGGCTTCTCACGAGTGAAAACATGATTAACGTAGATGAAACAGAAACATTTTCTTGGGCAAGGCATAAGGAATACTACCCGTTTGTTGTAGCTTAGTTCAGATTCCTAAAGGTTTTTGACCTGTTCTCTCTTTGCTGCCCTGCCGTTGGCCCACCTCATCATTTCAGGGACCTAAAAACAACACTCAAGTTTACTTCTGTAAGATGAATTAACGCCTCTTGTAACACAGCTCAGCTATTGGTGTACTTAATGTTAGATCCGTTTGTTGTAGCTTAGTTCAGATTCCTAAAGGTTTTTGACCTGTTCTCTCTTTGCTGCCCTGCTGTTGGCCCCCCTCATCATTTCAGGGACCAAAGTACAACACTCAAGTTTACTTCTGTTAAGATGAATTAACGCCTCCTGTAACACAGTTCAGCTGTTGGTGTACTTAATGTTAGATTACCCATAACTGAACCGTGACCAGATAACTTAGGTATGTAAAGAATAAACAGGAACATTGAAGGTGTTTTCACATTATTTTGCAATATTTATTTAGTTTTTGAAATTTTGCTTTATTCACTTGAATATGTTTTTACTAGAATAGACTATTGTATATTTTCCATGGTTTTAATATGCCTATATTAGTGAC